ACCTTGAGAGTGATGAGGACTGTAACGATATTCTAAAAAAATAAAGAATCATAATGTTCATTCTTCATACTATTTTTTTTTTTTAAAAGACACTCAATATTTTCCATCCGTTGGTGACATAATTAAAATATATATTTTTTATTAGCACTGCTATCAAATAAATGACGCGACTTAAATAAAAAAAAATATGATTTTAAAGAGCACTACACAACTGGAGTAGAAAATTAGAACTGATAGCTCAATTTACACATCCGTTGGTGACATAATTAAAATATATATTTTTATTAGCACTGCTATCAAATAAATGACGGCGACTTAAATAAAAAACATATTTTTAAAGAGCACTACACAACTGGAGTAGAAAATTAGAACTGATAGCTCAATTTATGCATCCGTTGGTGACATAATTAAAATATATATTTTTTATTAGCACTGCTATCAAATAAATGACGGCGACTTAAATAAAAAAAATATGATTTTAAAGAGCACTACACAACTGGAGTACAAAATTAGAACTGATAGCTTAATTTATGCATCCGTTGGTGACATAATTAAAATATATATTTTTATTAGCACTGCTATCAAATAAATGACGGCGACTTAAATAAAAAATATATTTTTAAAGAGCACTACACAACTGGAGTACAAAATTAGAACTGATAGCTTAATTTATGCATCCGTTGGTGACATAATTAAAATATATATTTTTATTAGCACTGCTATCAAATAAATGACGGCGACTTAAATAAAAAATATATTTTTAAAGAGCACTACACAACTGGAGTAGAAAATTAGAACTGATAGCTCAATTTACACATCCGTTGGTGACATAATTAAAATATATATTTTTATTAGCACTGCTATCAAATAAATGACGGCGACTTAAATAAAAAACATATTTTTAAAGAGCACTAGACAACTGGAGTAGAAAATTAGAACTGATAGCTCAATTTACACATCCGTTGGTGACATAATTAAAATATATATTTTTATTAGCACTGCTATCAAATAAATGACGGCGACTTAAATCAAAAAAAATATGATTTTAAAGAGCACTACACAACTGGAGTAGAAAATTAGAACTGATAGCTCAATTTATGCATCCGTTGGTTACATAATTAAAATATATATTTTTTATTAGCACTGCTATCAAATAAATGACGGCGACTTAAATAAAAAAAAATATGATTTTAAAGAGCACTACACAACTGGAGTACAAAATTAGAACTGATAGCTTAATTTATGCATCCGTTGGTGACATAATTAAAATATATATTTTTATTAGCACTGCTATCAAATAAATGACGGCGACTTAAATAAAAAATATATTTTTAAAGAGCACTACACAACAGGAGTACAAAATTAGAACTGATAGCTTATTTATGCATCCGTTGGTGACATAATTAAAATATATATTTTTATTAGCACTGCTATCAAATAAATGACGGCGACTTAAATAAAAAATATATTTTTAAAGAGCACTACACAACAAGAGTACAAAATTAGAACTGATAGCTTAATTTATGCATCCGTTGGTGACATAATTAAAATATATATTTTTATTAGCACTGCTATCAAATAAATGACGGCGACTTAAATAAAAAATATATTTTTAAAGAGCACTACACAACAAGAGTACAAAATTAGAACTGATAGCTTAATTTATGCATCCGTTGGTGACATAATTAAAATATATATTTTTATTAGCACTGCTATCAAATAAATGACGGCGACTTAAATAAAAAATATATTTTTAAAGAGCACTACACAACAAGAGTACAAAATTAGAACTGATAGCTTAATTTATGCATCCGTTGGTGACATAATTAAAATATATATTTTTATTAGCACTGCTATCAAATAAATGACGGCGACTTAAATAAAAAAATATATTTTTAAAGAGCACTACACAACAAGAGTACAAAATTAGAACTGATAGCTTAATTTATGCATCCGTTGGTGACATAATTAAAATATATATTTTTATTAGCACTGCTATCAAATAAATGACGGCGACTTAAATAAAAAATATATTTTTAAAGAGCACTACACAACAAGAGTACAAAATTAGAACTGATAGCTTAATTTATGCATCCGTTGGTGACATAATTAAAATATATATTTTTATTAGCACTGCTATCAAATAAATGACGGCGACTTAAATAAAAAATATATTTTTAAAGAGCACTACACAACAAGAGTACAAAATTAGAACTGATAGCTTAATTTATGCATCCGTTGGTGACATAATTAAAATATATATTTTTATTAGCACTGCTATCAAATAAATGACGGCGACTTAAATAAAAAATATATTTTTAAAGAGCACTACACAACAAGAGTACAAAATTAGAACTGATAGCTTAATTTATGCATCCGTTGGTGACATAATTAAAATATATATTTTTATTAGCACTGCTATCAAATAAATGACGGCGACTTAAATAAAAAATATATTTTTAAAGAGCACTACACAACAAGAGTACAAAATTAGAACTGATAGCTTAATTTATGCATCCGTTGGTGACATAATTAAAATATATATTTTTATTAGCACTGCTATCAAATAAATGACGGCGACTTAAATAAAAAATATATTTTTAAAGAGCACTACACAACAAGAGTACAAAATTAGAACTGATAGCTTAATTTATGCATCCGTTGGTGACATAATTAAAATATATATTTTTATTAGCACTGCTATCAAATAAATGACGGCGACTTAAATAAAAAATATATTTTTAAAGAGCACTACACAACAAGAGTACAAAATTAGAACTGATAGCTTAATTTATGCATCCGTTGGTGACATAATTAAAATATATATTTTTATTAGCACTGCTATCAAATAAATGACGGCGACTTAAATAAAAAATATATTTTTAAAGAGCACTACACAACAAGAGTACAAAATTAGAACTGATAGCTTAATTTATGCATCCGTTGGTGACATAATTAAAATATATATTTTTATTAGCATTGCTATCAAATAAATGACGGCGACTTAAATAAAAATATATTTTTAAAGAGCACTACACAACAAGAGTACAAAATTAAATGTCTTTAAGTAAAAAATGATTACACTTACATAGCTAAGAATGATATAGTACTGTCGAAAACACTTCACTAGCAGGAGACGGTGTTTCCACTGGTAAAAGACAATCACAGACTGATGTTTAAAACACACGACTAGGCAGTATTTATGCAGTCGAAAGGAGGTTATTCTCCTCCTCATATTATAATTTTAAAGACATTCACAACATATACCACTTCTATAGTGTTATTAAAAAAAAAAAAATTAAATCGACCTCGCTTGGAGAATATAGTTAAACGTCTATAGCAGTTAGGTTCCTCAAGGATTGTAACACGCAGCGAGTCGTAGGGTTTCTGTGGTCTGTGGTTAGTTCATTGAATCGTATTTATAAATTTTTTTTTTTTAGCTATTGTACAATGATTGTTACAATGTTACAACTGGAATGAATAAAAGAAGGTTAATTATCTTTCTCATATTATTATTTCGAAGACACTCTACATAGTATTATAAAAAACAGAATCATCCCACTCCGTACATATTTTCGCTTAAGTTATTTTTTACCATGCAAATTTGAACGTTAGCACTATAGTGGGATATTTTTTATTTGTCAAGATTGGTATAAAACGAGAAAAAACATAAACATCAGAGTTATATTAACATTAGTTGTGTGACAGTACAGTTCGAATTTATTTTACAAACAAAATGTCGATTCTGGAATCATCCGACGAGGACTTCTTCGCAGTAAGTTAACTAAATAATAATAATAATATGAATGATATAAAAAATGTTTTTTAGGAGACCTCACAGAGAAATGATGAATCAAGCTCGTTTGATCCACCACAAGTGAAGAAACCCAAAGTAGTTAGCAAAAATATAAGAAAACAGTCAAAAAAACAACAAAACGGTATTATTTATTTATATACTTTTTTTGTTTTTTTTTTTTAAATAGTAAAATTATGTATTTTCAGTCAACAATTTTTCAAAAAGCGTTAAAGGATGCAGTTATTTTAGATGAAGCGAACTATGAAGAATCGATGCTGCTTTTACGTGACAATAATCAAAAATGTGTCATTAATATTAAAACACCGAGTCCAACGTCTTATATAATTATACAAGAATATTTAGTAAATGATGTATTAGGATTATCCTATAGTGAGAGGTGAGAATTTTTTTTTTATTTTGGTACCAAAACGTAGCATAATTAATTTTTTTTATAGATGGCGAAAAGTGAACCGATCTGCTAAAATTGGTCTTACAAATAATAAGGCGAATTCTAAAATCAACAATTTATTGAAAAATCTATTTGATGAATTGGGAGAAAAATTTTTATCAGATGAATCTCGCACAATAAAAATGACAAAGGAATGATATTATTACAGCTATATCAACTATTTTAAATACATGATGGTGGAGGTTCTTTTCATAATAATAATATTAATATTGTATGGTATTAACGTAATGATATATTGTTAAGACGAGTTATATTTTTTACTTATATACCATTGTTTTTTTCAGTAGTATAGCAGAGGTATAATATAAATTAGAAATCATTGTTTTTTTTTTTTTCAGCAGTATAACAATAATAATAATGGTGGAGAACATTTCATTATAATAATAATATTGTATGATTTTAACGTAACGATATACTGTTAAGATAAGATTATATAGTATTACAATAAAATATTTTAAATTAGAAATCATTGTTTTTTTTCAGTAGTATAGTAAAGGTATATAATAATAATAATATTAATGTTTATTCACGTGTGAAGAAAGTTAACTAGACTCAAACATTACCCACATAAACCGCATAAACACAGATCACGCAGCGTATAGAATACAACTAACCACAGGGTTTCATTGACGCGGTGTGTCTTGTTCAATGAATCGTAGTAATTTTTTGTGTAATGGTTGCTATGACTCAAATGATTATATTTATTACAAGGCGAAACTGTTTCACTAAAAAGTAAGTGGGATTTTTTTTTTTTACTATCAAACTTAGTGTATGAGTAAGAGCTGTTAGTTCAAAATGGACAGCGATTCCTATCCATCGTCTGCTAGAACGGTGAGGCGTTGCAAACGACGGCGGCGACCGCGTAAAATCCGAACACAACGGCGACGGATAGGTTCTTACACATCTCTTGAGACTGATACTACCGCATCGCGAAGTCGATCGGTAAGTGTTAATTCCAGTTCTAGTTTTTTTTCATTATCACCCCTACGTCAACGGTCGCTCTCGTCGACTTCATATTCTCCTTGGAGCTCGAGTAGCGACGTGAAGTCTTTTCATAGTAAATCAACACTGTGGTTGGAATGTAAGTTTTTTTTTATTTAACCCATCGTTTCACACAGAGCACATTTTAAGGTTTTTTTTGTACTATACAATTTTTTTAAAAAATAAACTTATAGTTTTTTATTTTTTTTTTATTTTCTAATAATAGTAATTACAAAAAAAAAAACATATTATCAATTAGTAGTGAGTAAAAAGATACATATTTCTTTGAATGATTCAATGTTCTGAGTTTAACTAGTAATTAATAATAATGGAAAAAGTTTAGCAATCGTGTTCTTCAATATAGGTTTACCAACGATGGGTTAATAAATGAATATTAACATTTTTTTTTTTTACAAAATAAGTAACGTACTTTTTTTATTTAGCGGATACAGATGACGAACATGGAATTGGAAATTGGTCTACATCAGAACCATCAATAATTTCGCTAGCAGATTCATGTAAGTTAATTTTTTTTTTATTTGAAATAAAATAATATTTTCTTCTTTTTTTTTTTTAAAAAAAAAAGGGTCATCAACAGATGTTACTTATGAATCGGATGCAGACGTGTTACCTCCACTTCTGCGTCTTAATCAGCCAGCTATTGAAACCATTTGGCTAACTGATTCGGATTAATATGTAAGTTAGTTTAATTTTTTTAATTATTGTTGAATTAATATTATACTGTTTTTTTTTTTTTTAGGGTTTTTAGGGAGGTATTTATTATTGTTGAAAACATGAACGTTAGAGATCACTGTAAGCTGATTTTAAATTAGTAAAATAAAAAAAAATATTTCAATATATTTTTTTTTTTTTTAAAGGTTAACAGATAGAGTTGTTGGAAATTATTATCATGTGTACTCTACGCTATGAGACTTAAATGTGAGTAATTATATAATATATATATATATATATAACACAATTGATTAGTTAATAGAATGTTTATTAAACACTTTTTTAAATTCACAATACAATTACATTATTTAATAAGATTAATAATACTTTAAAAATAATCCTCGTTCACTCAGATTTTGTTGAATTTTTTATTCTGTAAGCGCTTGGATCGACGAGCATCTGGCGTTTTCACAATTAATACTGAAATATCATTTTCTAAGTTTTGATTAATTATTTTAACACTATTTTTGGTTGCTTCAATAATTATATATTTTAACAAACGACACTTTCGACAGGAGCAGCATTCTAAATGTGAAGGCATTATTATACCTTCTTGTAAGACGGTTATTTCTAAACTAAAACGAGTGAAATATTTTTTTAAATAATTAGCTTGTATACGTTTTCCCTCTCTCAATACATATATTTTTTTTTTTCCTTTTCGAAATTATACTATAGTTACTAGAAGTTCTTGCATAATCAAATTTATAATTTGATCATAATTAATTTTTAATTCATGGATGAATAGCGCATTTGTATCCGTTGCAAACATTTGAAAATCATAGTTTGCGACAAAAGCCGTTATGAAATCGATACGTCGACATTCACTTGAAAAATTATTAACATCATTAAGTATAGCTGAATATATATCGTTAAAAGATTTTTGATACAACTCCAACTTATTTAAGCGTTCAGTTATATGTGCTTCAATACAATTTGAAATCATCTGAAGTGTTAACAAATTTATACGCGTCAATTTCATACGTTCATTTTTATTACGTAATATCACTGAATCTGTTTTAGGGTTAGTAGTACAACTAAAATCTGAACCTAATTGTATTCGCTTTGCATTGTTTTGAATTGTGTTCACAATGTTGTTGAATATTTGAAATTCCATCAGAGTACGCCACTGTTTTTCATCAAGAATTAGCTGGTCTTGACTATTTTTATAATCTAAATAAACAATAATAGATAATTTTTTATTTAAAAGAATACCTACCGAGATAGTTCTTTTGGGGTCAATGGTGAACGTAGATTTAGATAACACATTTGCCATTTTGTTTAAATAAAATTTTAGCATGCACATAAACGTCCGTACAACTTAACTCTATATTAACTACTTATATCTTTAGCATAAAGATGACGTATATATATATACAAACCTTGAGTATAAAACATACCCCCTCTTCTACTTATTCCAGTGTAATTGACCAAATGGGTTGTGCAATTTTTAGATTCTTTACATTTTGTAATTCTTTTGTCTGGTGTAGAACTTCTTCAAAAGATTCCTCAAGTTTTGTTTTAGATGTAGATTTTTCTATATTTGAATGTTCAATTTTGTCTAATTTAATTATAAAATTATAAATAGCTTCTAGTAGACTACATTT